GCAGGAGCAGGAGCGCGGGAGCAGGAGCAGGAGCGCAGGAGCAGGAGCGCAGGAGCAGGAGCGCGGGAGCAGGAGCAGGAGCGCACGAGCAGGAGCGCAGGAGCAGGCTCCCGCCTGAGTTATAAAGTGTGAAACGTCTGGCATGAGTGACTCCGGGCAGGTTTTGAGCTGCAGGTGAACTTCTCAGCACGTTAGAAATGTTCTTGTTCTGGAACCTGCAGCTGATGTTTCAGGTTAAAACACTGAAACAAAGATGACAGAAATATGCAAAGTTATGGTGACATTAGACGCTTGAGTCTTGTCATGCATTTCTGATCCAGCTCCGTGCCGTGAAGCAGGGGCTGCAGGAGATGAGGACGGGCCGGCCTGTGATTGGTCAGCTGACAGTGAGAGGCACTTCAGGGCGACATCGACGAGCCACTCGAGCTCTTTCCGAGGATCGGTTCAAACAGCATCACAAAGAAAGAGGCGCTCGCACGCTCCGCAGGTTTGCATATGCAAGCGATGCTGCGGGAGACCAGCGCCACGTTTCTAAAGCAGAGCTCGTGTTTGGTGTTTGGTCTCCATGATAAGCTGGGCAAACTATCCAATAGTACTTTCCATGGAAACAACCGGCTGTTTCCCGCTGTTGCCTGCTTTGCATACGGTACATTTAAATGTTTGAGCCCTACAGCAACGATACAGTAAGGGTCAGGCTCTCAGGACTTGGATTTGAGATGCTGCTCAGTGAGGCTTTCAAAGCTCAGCTTCAAAATCGGGAAAGAGAAATCTTCCTGAAACATCCGGCTCAGGCGGAGCCGAGCATTTCTCAGAGAGGGGTCTCCGAAATCTCAGCGCGCCTCCCTCTAAATGTCTTCGTATACCCCAGTCATTAACTGGTCCTTCAGTAACACGCTGAATGATCCACCAGCGTCGTGCTGATCATCTTTTTAATACAGTCTTTGTTATTATCCAACAACAATCTAGACAAGAGGCACATTTCTCTTTATAATTACAGTGTCATGTTTTCCACCTTTGAGTACAGTTGTTGTGCCTTTAAGGTTATTTCTCTCACCCGTCTTCCTCTTTTCTCGTCTGTCTGTTTTCGCCTTTTTATTTCTGTCCTGCTCTCAGACTCGGAGCTGAACCACAAAGAGTTTCACGGGGAAGTTCAGATCCTAAAGCGCCTGCGCCACCGTCACCTCATCTCGCTGTTCGCCGTGTGCACGGCGACCATGCCGTACTACATCATCACCGAGCTGATGGAGAAGGGCAGCCTGCTCAAGTTCCTCAGAAGTAAACCTCAGCTTTGTTTCCAGTGAAAGATCAGAGTTCAGTGTGCTGCGTAACGTTGGACAGCGAGGGCTTTGATTATGGTTACAGCCTCAGCATCGAGCTCAGCGGGCGGTCAGCAGGGGGCGCTCTCTGTCTGTTCTCAGGGAAACAAACAGCTGTCAAACTGCCAGCTGCTGCAAAGCCTCGGAAACGTGCCAGATATTTACACACGTATATTTATATTCAGCAAAGTCACAAACGTATGGGAGGGAGATATTTCAGAGATGGATTTTATATCTCAGATATAGATTTCACATATCTGAGATCAATTTTATATTCCTGAGACATCATGTTTGTGATCTGGTCCCAGTTTCTGGGTTACAGCTCCTGACCCTCCTCTTACCGCTGGAACCATCTGTCCATCTTCCACATCTGTCCCAGCGGCGGTCACCGTGTCTGGTTGGTCGTCCAGCAGCTGTGTGTCACGAAGTCCCCCAGAACCTTAGCCTTGTTATCCTCCACCACCTTTGGTGATATCTCCCACCTAGATTTTTTTTTTAATGCTGTCGGCGTTAATCTCATTAAAATCTCCTTAACGCTGTAACTGCATTTTTATATCTATTTTTTTATTTCTTCTGTTTAGAATGAAACTTAGTGCAACTCTTTTCTGCTTACATTTCATTATGATCATAACAGCTAGTTTCCCCACACGCAGACAGCGATATTAAATCATTATCTGTCAGGAAATCGCAGCTGAGCATCAACATACAAACACATGATCAATTTTCACTTAAATCTGAGAAACGATTTCCAACCTGTGAAATCCGACCCTCAGGGGAGCTCTTGAATGCAGCACCGAGCTCCTGTAACAGCTGCTGAGTGGATGAAATCTGGAGCAGGTACTGATGGTGGTTTGGAGTTTCTGGTGTTCAGTGGAGCAGCTCCATCTGCTGATCCAGAGACGTTCAGGTGGAGAATTAGAACCATCGAGTTCCAGAACCCGTGGTCGGGCTTCTGGAACTCGATGGACCTCCATGACTGGGTGGAGAGGCGCTTCTGTTCAACAGGTGGGCTTGACGAGTGGGAGACAGTCAGACTGTGTGTGGGGAGGGAAGGGGCCACTGCCCACTGAATCAGCAGCAGGAGATGGGTGTTCGATAAACTCAGACCTTTTACTTACCGGCGCACTCACTTCATCTGCATCGTTCTCTCACTCAGGTCCAGAGGGCCAAATACAAGACGTCGCATCCCTCGTTGACATGGGAGGCCAGGTGGCTGATGGGATGTCATATCTGGAGGAGATGAACAGCATCCACAGAGATCTGGCGGCTCGAAACGTCCTGGTGGGACATGACTACATCTGCAAGGTGGCCGACTTCGGCCTGGCCAGAGTCATCAAGGTAAGCGGAGGAGGAGCTGTCGATCTCTAAGTGGAGCACGGCTCAGCTCTGACGGCAGAGTCTTGTTTTTCCCTTCAGGAGCCGTTTTACATCTCAGAAGACAAAAAGATTCCCTACAAGTGGAGCGCTCCCGAGGCCATCAGCCACGGGAAGTTCTCCATCAAGTCCGACGTCTGGTCTTTTGGCATTCTGCTCTACGAGATCATCACCCGTGGAGGAGTTCCTTACCCAGGTTAGTCCACGAGAGAGATTCATTCAATTACTGATGTCTTGATCGTCACGTGTGTGTCTTTAGCTTTATCACAATAATCGTGACTATCCCAAAAGCTTGACTCTGCTCATCTGGATGCAGCGAACACGTCAGACTAACTTCTGCTAACTCGAGTAACCTTTAAATCCTCTCAGGGACGCCTGCACGTTAAACTTTACTGTAACAGCTGAGCGAGCGCCGCGGCTGCATCGCTGTGTTTCAGGAGCTGAAGGAGCGCTTGGTGAAAAACGGTGGCCTCCCCCCAACCTCGCAGCTTGTGCAGTATTTATTAACACGTGCAGCCCTCTAGCTGCACACTCTGCTCATGTCACAGTCCACGTGTGCTTGAATGCGATTGGCCGGTTTGCACAAGGAAAAGAGATAAGTGAGTTCCTTAAACGTGCATAAATGTGGACTTTATGAAGCTCTGCAGTAACCAGAATAAATAACCAGAGCGAGCCAGCTGACCACTCCCACTATCTGACTTTCATACTGTCTACGTATTCAGAACTACAGCCTTCACATACATATGAGGCACTTACAGCTTTTCCAGAGCTACATAAATCCAGCAGATCTCCACTTGAAAAACATTTAAGCTGTGATTAAAAACTGCTCTCAGATCAGTTTCAGTCCCACTGCAGGACTCCCATCAGTCTGAGGACTGAGCCCAGTTCTGATGATCTATCAGACACAGAGGAGCACAGAGAAGTGCTGGTATCCTGAAGTTTGATCTGAAAACTTCACCAAACGGTGCATTCTGGGTAAACTCGTTTTTATGCGGGATCAGAGTCCAGGTGCACTTCTTTGTGAGGTTTGTCTGATTTCGTGTTGGCGTGTCACTGTGTGATGGAGATGCACTGCACACTAAGGTGAGGGTTTACAGAGCTGCTGCCCGACACAGCTCAGCTGATCTGCAGATATTTGAGCTAACACAAAGCACTCTTCATCACTTGTCCTCCTCTCCTCCCTCAGCTTACAGTAACCAGGAAGTGTACCAGCAGGTAACCCTGGGATACAGGATGCCCAAACCGCCCAACTGCCCAGACTTTCTCTATGAAATCATGAAGCGGTGCTGGAGCACCGAGCCGGCCGACCGGCCCGACTTCAGGGTACTGAGGGTCAAACTGGAGTGCAGCTCGTATGAGTTGGAGACGGCACAACCCTGAACTGCTGCAGTACATATGGAGCGCCACAGGGGGGCAGCAGAGAGGCAGACAGAGCAGCGACTGCAGAGCTCTTCAGTGAGGACGCGCTTCAAAGAGCAGAACCACCGAGAGTCCGCAAAGACTGCAGCTGACTCACACCATCACCATCATCACCAACATCACCACCATCATCATCACCAACATCACCATCATCATCATCATCATCATCACCAACATCACCATCATCATCATCATCACCAACACCATCATCATCACCAACACCATCACCACCACCATCATCATCACCAACATCATCATCACCAACATCACCACCACCACCACCACCACCAACATCACCACCACCACCAACATCACCACCACCACCATTTTCACCAACATTATCACCACCATCAACACCACCATTATCATCACCATCACCACCATCAACACCACCATTATCATCACCACCACCACCAACATCACCACCACCACCATCACCACCATCTTCACCAACCTTATCACCAACGCCATCATCACCAACATCACCATCATCACCAACATCACCACCATCACCACCACCACCAACATCATCACCACCACCACCACCACCACCATTATCATCACCACCACCAACATCATCACCATCTTCACCACCACCACCATCATCACCATCTTCACCAACATTATCATCACCACAATTATCATCACCACCACCAACATCATCACCAACTTCACCAACATTATCACCAACACCATCATCACCACCATCACCACCACCACCACCAACATCATCACCACCACCCATCACCACCAACATCATCACCATCACCACCACCATCACCATCACCACCACCAACATCATCACCATCTTCACCACCACCATCATCACCATCTTCACCACCACCATCATCACCATCTTCACCAACATTATCATCACCATCACCACCATTATCATCACCACCCCCAACATCATCACCATCTTCACCACCACCACCATCACCAACACCACCATCACCACCACCACCAACATCACCATCACTACCACCCATCATCACCACCATCTTCACCAACATCACCACCATCTTCACCAACATTATCAACACCACCACCACCAACATCACCACCAACACCATCACCACCAACACCACCATCACCACCATCATCACCACCATCACCACCACCACCACCACCACCATCATCACCACCAACACCATCACCACCACCATCATCACCATCTTCACCAACATTATCACCAACACCCTCATCACCAACATTATCAACACCACCACCACCAACATCATCACCATCTTCACCAACATTATCACCAACACCCTCATCACCAACATTATCAACACCACCATCACCAACATTATCAACACCACCACCACCAACATCATCACCATCTTCACCAACATTATCACCAACACCCTCATCACCAACATCACCACCACCACCACCACCACCACCATCATCACCAACA